ATAGGGGCATCATTCTTCAACATAATCCAATCAATAATAGAATGAGGTCTACATTTTTACACAAAAAGTTACCAAAATTTTCTGATGTCTTATTTTTGGTTAAATTAAAAAAAACAATGTCACTGAATTTGTTCTCCATACGACTACAGTGAGTGGTCCTTGGTATTATCCAATGAAAAAAGACTGAATGACCTTTGCCATTATTCAAGGTCACAGGGGTCAAATGTGTAACTTGTATTGTGTCAAAATAACTTTCACGACTTCTAAATTAAAAAATGGTTAGAATGATGATATTTAGCCAATAGCATGCTGGAATAAAGGTTTGAAACATTTGTTAAAAAAATGACCTTGAATATATATATAATATTCAAGGTCACAGGGGTCAAATATGTTTGAAACTTTAAATGACTTCTTCTGAATATGTGACCTGAGTAGCATTCTTATATGAATAGCTATCAAATTTGTTATGTGAATAACCTTGACATGCTATCAAGGTTACAGGGGACAATTGTGTATAAACCTTTGAAAGTTATCTTCTTAATACACAAAAGGTATAGGGTGGAGATATTTGGCAACCTCTGCATGACTTTGAGTCAAGACCTTGAGATTTTGCCTGTAGTTTCAGTCCACTTAAAGGTTACAAGTGTGATATATATATATTAATACCAGGTGAGCGATACAGGCCCATATGGCCTCTCGTTATCGAATACATAACTGGTGATATAACTCTCTGGTCAAACGTAATAGGAGTATCGTAGGAATTTACTGTTATGGTTTAGTAGGCAGTATGCGACCTCAATTTCCTAAAAGGCTTTCACTCATGGGGAAGCACTGGAAGTCATTCATCAGAACAAGGTGTTTACAATTTAAACCGTGACCCAACTCAGCCCTCAGGCATCCAGACCCTTGGGGTGATATGGGGGTCTCAGGCTGGTACAGAGTAGGATATGGAAATGGTAAAACTTGAAGTACATGTATATAACATGGGATTGAAAAATGTTGGAAAACAATTACTTTGAGATCGATTCTGAGCGATATTTGTTATTTTTTTCCCCCCAAGGTTATTTCTCCCAAATAATACATTCCATCATATTACATGCACCCGTGTTGATTTATTTCTTAAATATATAGAGCTGACCTTTGAGGAAGTAAACCAGTTTAGTGATAAAGGAGTTAAACTTTTGTATTAACCTAAACTGAAACAGTCGTACAGATCTATCTCACACTTAATACTTCCTCATCATGTGTTATTACGGAAATATTTTATAAGCTAGGAAATTGAAAACATACATTCTGTGTGCAATACGAAGAAATTTAAAAGTTGAAGAAGCTCTCTTCAATATAAAATTGAATATAAGGTAAGTAAACTAAGTGAATGGCTTACATTTTCATTTGTGAAATATTCATTGCCAATTATCATATTATGATGAAAATAAAAGTTGATCTGTCTTAAGTTTGATGTCCTCAGTTAGATCATATGACATATCGCTTAATGCTGCAAGGATGTTATAAACCGGGGACCCAAACAAAATAAAGACAAATAACTATTGATATATATAGCTGATATTCAAATTTGCGCGTGTTTCAGAGAATAGCGCGTACTATTTGTCTATAGGCACGTGAGGATCGTATCAGGGCAAGTAATTCGTGCGATGTGGTATTGACCAATGAGGTTGGAGCATGTGTGTGGGTAGGACACGGGTGGTTGTTATTGTGTTATTCTAGCTTCGGACGTAGACGGAACGTACAAGTTTTAAATCTAAATTGAATTTAAATTTATTTCATATGAAATGTTATGTACATGCATGAATACATTGAGAATATATGGCAATCGTATTTATGTTGGATGTACATGCAGAAACCCGAGCAAAAAAAACACCTGAATCAGAGCTGGCAATTAAGGTAATAGGATTGTGTCACCATTTCTCAGTAGAATTTCTTCCAATTTTGTAGTTATTTAAGGAATGATTTTTATTTTTTCAACATTCATGAGGTCATAACAACAATGGGTTTATGGACATATTGAATGAATCGCGTTAGCGATTTATGTAAAATATGTCCAAAAACCCATTGTTGTTATGACCTCATAAATGTTGAAAAAATAAATATCATTCCTTATATTTACATTGACGAATCCTTTCAGTGGATCGATATAACAACGAATAAAACAAATAAACAGGGTTTGTTCCTGCTTATACACGGGTGCAACGCAGTGGCGAGAACAGTGTTTTTTCGCGGGGAAATGTGACACTATCGTGAGAGATCTTAGCAACCGTCAACAACAATAACACAACAAAATGTAGTTCCATATTCAATGTTTATTTGTAGCACAGGACACGTGAATACGTGGATATTTCACAAAGCACAGTTCAATAATATTTTAAGATGTAAGAATTAAGCATCTAGGTCGGTCGTTCCGAGTGAGTAGTTTTTGTAGTGTATTACTACGCAGTGTGATCAGGTTACTATCAGTTCCCACGTGCTGAGATTCTATGAACACCTGTGTTATGCATTTATGAATGTAATTTTTGTCAATGGGTCTAAGCATACAGAATGTAAATATA